ACCTGGTTACAACTGATCCTTCCAGCCTTAGTTCAAACTACTCTCTGACTTCATATATGCTTTATTCCAACCACGTTACTATTGTAGCATGATTTCACCCTGCACGTGCCTGCTCTCATATATCAGCACAGGCCTTCCTCACTCCCCACTCCTTGGATCTTCCTTTCTACTTCTCTGCCTGTTGACTTCTTTTTCTTTCTTCAAATTTAACATGACGAAACATTTTTATATTGTTTTTATCTTCATATCCCCCAATTTTTTTTTTTAAGTGAGGCAACTGGGGTTAAGTGACTTGCCCAGAGTCACACAGCTAGGCTGGATTTGAACTCAGGTCCTCCTGACTCCGGGCCAGTGCTCTATCCACTGTGCCACCTAGCTGCCCCTCCCAAATCTTAATACAGTGCCAAGCACACAGTAAATGTTTTTTTGATTTTGCTCTTAATTCTACTTTGTACACAAGATATGTCATTCAGACCATACCAATCCATGTACTCAATGACAAAACTGTTTATCTACATATCTCCAATCCCTAGCACAGTGTTTTGCACAGTGTGCTAATAAATGTTTGCTAAATTAAAAACTGCTCCTATAATATTATGCAAATAACTGAAAAATATTCGACTTTGAAGAAATAAGCTATTAACTGAGCTTCAGCCATTCCCAACCAGCTAAAGAAACTAGTTAGTAAAGTGAAAAACTGGAAGTCTCATGTAGTATTGCAGTAGGGCACTGGGTTAGGAACCAGTAAGATCTGAGTTTAAATGTGGCCTCAGACACTTACTAGCTGTGTGATTCTGGGTAAGCCATTTAACCTCTGTTTATCTCAGTTTTCTCATCTGTAAAATAAAGATAATAACAGCCCTTACCTCCCAGGGTTGTTGTGAAGATCAAATGAGATAATAATTGTAAGGAACTTAGCACAGTGCCTGGCACATAATAAGTGCTACATAAACGTTAGCTATTATCAGTAGCAACATACATCAGTTATATTGATGCAATACAATATTAGCCAACATTTTACTTTGATATAATTTTGCCAGATAAGCCTCACCTATGATTTCATGATGGAATTATCTTGCTTACTGGTTTGATTCCTCAATGAAATCCAAAAAATCCTTTTGGCTGTGTGTGAATCAAGAATCCATGGATCTCCAACTCCCTCCTCCCTGCCCCCACACATATTCAGTCTTCTGAATATAAATAGGCAATAACTTAAAGAACTCACTAATAGCCTGTTTGCTAATGTGGGACAACTATGACTGGGCTATAACAACATTAAGTGCTTTGGTGTACTAGGTCCTGGGGCTAAGCACTGGGGATACAAAGAAAGGTAAAAACAATCCTTGTTCTCAAGGAGCTTATATTCTAATTGGGGAGACATTGTGTAAGTAAATAGGTACATACAAGATACCTGGAGTCGGCAGGAGATAACCTTAGAGGGGAAGTCTTTAGCAGTTGGAAGAATTAAGAGAGTACTCTTGGAATCTGAGATGTCTTGAAGGAAGCCAGATGAGGCAGAGGAGGAGAGAGCTTTCTAAGCATGGGGGTATAATGAGTAGTAGAATATGTGTGAAGAATAGCAAACAGGTTAGTTTGGCTCAATCATTAAGTTCAAGGAAGGGACTAAAATGTAAGGAGACTGGAAAGACAGGAAAGAACCAGGTTGTGAAGAGCTTTAAATGATGAATTATACTTGTTTTGGGAGGTAAAAGGGAAACACTAGAATTTACTAGGGGATGGGAGGAGGGAGACAGGAAGAACAGGACAGGACACATGGTCAGACCTGTACTTTAGGAAAATGGTTTTGGTTCTTGAGTGGGGCGGAATTTGAAGCAGGAAGACCAATTAGGAAGTTATTGTAATAAAGTAGATGAGAAGTGATGAGAGCTTGAACCAAGGTGGTGGCTTTATGAATGAAGAGACTGGGACCTATATAAGAATTGTGGTTAAAGTGAAAGGATACATGGGGCGAGAGTGAGGAGTTAAGGAAGACACTGAAGTTGTGAACTGGGTGACTGGTGGTACCCTCAAGAATAATAGGGAAGTTCAGAAGAGGGGTGGGCATGAAGGGAAATCAATCCTTTGTTGATCAATCTATATCTATATCTATATCTACACATATATATGTATATATATTTATCAAGCATCTACTATATACTAGTACTATGCCAGCTGCTGGGGATAAACATACAAAAATGAGTTCTGTCTTAGCCACGCTGAGTTTGAGATGCCTCTGAGACTTATCGTTTGAAATGTCCAATAGGCAGCTGGTGTTATGGGACTGCAGTTCAGGAGAGAAATGAGAGCTAGAAACATGGATCATAGAGATATCTGAACCCATGGGAGGTGATGAGATTAGCATCTGCGCTAGTACAGAGAGAAAAGAGGGCCCAGGACAGAGCTTTTGGGGACACAATTACCATACATTACATGTAAGAATATCTAGCAAAGGGGACTACAAAGAAGCAGGTAGACAGAGGAGGAGAACCAAGAGTTCTCAAACTGTCACAAAAGCCAAAGAGGAGAAAGTACCCAGGAGAACTTTGGCAAATACTGCAGAGAGGCTAATAAGAATGAAGATTGAGTATAGGCCATTATATCTGACAATTAAAACATTACTGGTAAATTTTTGAAGAGTGCAGTTTCAGTTGAATGAAGTTGGAAACGAAGTTGTTTCTTGAGCAATTCTTCTTTGTTTATCTTCAATTTCTAGGAGCAACAACTTCAGCACAAAGCCTCAATTTAGGCTGGGTACAGAATTTCAGAAATCAACAATATGAGGGTGGCTCTAGGTACTGAAACAGATTAGATTAAATGATTAAAACCCAGTTTTATCTAGATCAGGGATTCTTAACCTGGGGTTCATGACCTTGTTTGCTTAATATTTTGATAACGGCATTGGAATGAATTTGGTTTCCTTGGTAATCTTAGGTATTTTACAAATATAAAAGCATTATTCTGAGAAGGGGTATACAGGCTTCAACCAGATTATTTGTGACACAAAGAAGGTTAAGGTTTAGGGCATATCCTTGAAAGAAATTAGTAGAAAGGAAACAAGTGACTAATTAATATTTTTATTAATTAAAGCTCAAGTTAATGGGTTTCTATAGACCTGTAAACAGTCTTTATTTAAAATTACATTTGGAAGAACATTTAAATAAATTGGATATGCAACTAAAAAAGCAACCCAACCAATCAAAAAACCCCAATGAAACACAAAAATAGAAATTCTAAAAAATCAATGAAAAGAAAAAGAAAAATATCACTGTATTGATAAATAAAACCAGGCATTTAAAAAAAAAGGCATATAGAGTGGGTTATAGGACCTCATCCCATCAGTAGGACAAAGTAAGAGCTCTTTGGTCAAACAATTCTGTAGTGATTAAAGTTAGGACTTGCTGAGTCCCTGTAGTAGTTGTAAAGAGCTCAATTATTGATACTAGTGCTTAGTCTCATGGAAAATCTTATTGTAAGTACCAGGAGATTAATAAAATCCACTGCCACCTGCTATTAACTACAGTGTCCTATCTCAAAGGAGTTATAAGACATGGGAATTTAACAATGAAAATGGACACTGTATAATTTAATATAATTTAAATACAAAGCAAATCAATTTTTTTGCAGTGCCATAATGCCATTTCCTATAATATAACATAACATAACATAATATAACAAAGTCTCTTTTCTTTAGCAGTTTCTAAAGTTTTAGTCTGATTGTCGTAACCGGTGCTATTAAGGACAAATGAATGTAGTCGATCCACTAAGATTAAAATGTTAATCACGGTATATGGATTAATACGAATATTTTCAAAAAATGACTACAGAGCTAAATTCTTTTTAAGAACACTCATTTTCCTTGTAAAACAAACAAACAAAAAAACCTCAAACAGTTCTCTCATCTGAAATGTTTTTGTTGGCATTTTATTTTCTTGTGGAAAGAAACTTTCAGACGTATACAACAAGAAAAAAAACTATATGGTATTTTCTACATGGCCTGGAGAAAAAGAGGTAAGGTGATAAAGAGCACTGGACTATGACAATTAAACAATAAGACATTTATATAGCATTTTAAGGTTTATAAAATGCTTTTCATAATCTTATTTGATCCATTATTAGCTTTGTGACTTTAGGAAAATCATAACTTCTCTGGGACTTAGTGCATACCTTTTTATAGTCATTGTTGAGAACCAATTAAATGTAAAGTATTATTATTTTACTCTTTTCTCTTCAAAATCTTTGCTGTGTTATTCCTGAATAAAAGGGAATCTATTTTTCTTATTAAGATAAGCATGGCCACCTTGGTAATTTCTATGACTGACTAGTTTTCTAGATAAGAGGTATCAAATATATTGCAGCAAAATTGCTGAGTGCTGCTGAAATCAGATTAAAATTGGGAAATGTTTAAGAAAACAAATGTAAATAGATAACATGATGTTTTCTATTTGAGTTTGACACCAATGTTCTAAATCATGGAAAATATCCCATGACAGGAGAATTCTAGAAAAAAAAATCCAGCTATACTAGAGGCTCTGCTGCCATTAACATGATTTTATTTCCAGAGTCAAAAAGTAACATCCAGTTGTATAAAATCCATGTAATTTTTCTGTGGCTAGTTTATCTGAACAACAAAAAAAAAAAGACATCTGTAAACTGACACTAAAATTACACAAATGAAATCTTTTACTGTGGTGATGTCCTTAACCTTTAGTTGAAGGGATGTACTCTGTGTTTTTCAAAAGACTTATTACGTACAGAGGGTTAGGGGAAATGACAGCTGTAGGGTAGGCCCTATAAACTAGTCAGCTAGATACCACCAGCTAGAGAGTTCTGTTAACCTTGTTGGTTGGTAAACTTTTATAAGTCTCTGCAATTCTTTGTACTTACAAGAAGGTAATTAAATACCTTTTAACACTTATCACACTATATTTGTACATGCATACTATATGTACTGAGATGAAAAATATTTTCTATTTTCAGAGAGTATAAAACATTCTTCATACCTGGACCAAGCAGCGGAGATCGATTGAGCTGAGTGCTCGACTGGTGTGATGGTAGATTTTCAACCATATTTGTGTTACTATTGGTGGTGGTGGTGGTGGTAGTGGTGTTGGTTGTGGTACTGCTCTGGATCACAGGATTGTTTCTATCCCACATGTTTACAGTTTTATTGTTGTAGGTGCTTGGGTCACCCCAAGCTGAGGTACCATCATCAATTTCCATCTTACGTCGAATGGAGGGGGGAGAAGGTTCTTCCCAACCTGTAGCCTCGCTAATGTCCTTCTGTTTGGCTGGTACTGGCCCACCAACCCATCCTGATCCAGTCTGCTTAACAGAAGCAGCTCCTCCCCAGTTACTCACATTGTTGTCTTGGGGTTTATTAGACCAGTTTTGCTGGGGACCAGATTTTAAAGACTCCCCCCAATTTGTACCTGGATTAACCTTAGCATTTGTGCCACTGCCCCATCCACTGGTCCCAGATCTTGCATCATTCCAACCAGAACCTGATCTATTATTGTCAGCATCCCATCCTGATCCATTCTTTTTTCCATCACTCAAATTTCCAAGGACAGATGATGAATCTGTCCAATCTCCCCCCCCTGAAGTCCAGCCTGGATTGGACTTTTGTCCATCTCCCCAGTTTTGAGATTTGGGTTTCTGAGGTTCACCCCAGGTAGGTGATTTGTCCCCCTGATTTACAGTCCCACTCCAAGCATGGCCACTTTTGGCAGCAGCATTATTGACAGCAGTAGAGTTTATTGAGTCCCCCCAACCCCCGAGGCCATTTGGTGCCTTGTTGTTGTTGTCTCCCCAACCTGTATTTGCTGGAACAGCAGCAGAGGGTGAGTTGACCCACCCAGATACTGAAGAGGTATTTGTACTGTTCATGATGGACCCATCGTTCTTCCCCCCTGAGTTTGAAGGTTGAGTAGTTGCACAACCCCAGGCCTCTGTCCCATTGTCATTTTTTCGCTCAGACCTAGGGGATTCCTCAAATTCCCAGGCAGTGTTTTGCTTTACAGGAGTTTGTCCCCAACCAGTATTGGACAGTACTCTTGGGTCAAGGTCATTCCTTGGCAACTGGACTTGCCCTTGGTCTATAATTCCTTTATCTCTGCGTCGGCTCTCTCCAACTCCTTCCCTCCCAGTGCTTCCTTCATTTTGACTTCCAGAACTGTCACTGCTTCCTTCACTTGTCGCAGTGCCAGAAGTGCCAGCTTTGGCCCAAGAGTTCAGTTGTTCATTGCCCTGTTGTATGGCAGGATTCTGGTTGGTAACACTAGGGTTATCCCACCCCATTGTTCCTTTCCCATTGATGTCATTATTGGAATGCTGGTTTGGGGGCTTTCCCCATTCCCCATTCACACCATTTGAGGTGCTACGGCTGGAGTGGCTCCAAGCTCCAGAATGCATATTACCAACACCATTGCTGCCACTGCCCCTTCCCCAGGCGAGAACTCCAGGACCAGCAGGAGGCCCTGAATCCCATGCATTTGCTCCATTCCCTTCCTTCTGCACAGCTGGATCTATTCTGTTGGATCCATTTTGTTTAGCACTTAATGCTGAGTTCACAGTGTCTCCATTCCCCTGATTGAACCCAGAACTATTATTTCCTGTGGCAGGATTACCTGGGGACATCCCCCATACTGAACTGCTAATTCCTTCACCATTGCCCCCACTGACTTGAGAAACTGATGATCCATTAGCACCAGGAAGGCCTTGCAGGTGGGGTGGGATGATGGCCCCTATACCAACAGCCATTCCCCAATTCGGCAGTCCATTTGTCTGCATTGCATTGATAGAGTTTGGTGAAGAGTTCATAGGGTTAGTGTTATTTGGTCCATCAGTGTTAAGGTTCTGAGGTTGTACGCTGAAAGACACATTCTGAGAAGTGGACGTTTGTGGTTCTGTGCTCTCTTGAGGCAGCAAGTTTCCCCAAGCACCTAAAGTGCCTGTTGGGTTCCCATTCTGGTTGCCCATATTTTGACCTATGGCACCGACTGGACTGCAAATACTGGAAGGGTTGCCTGTTGCCACAGTTCCTTCATGTCCAAGTACAGGCCAGGCAGCTGGGTTGGCATTAGGATTAAGGTTAAGATTAATGCCAGCATTTGGGTTGGAAGTACCCCAGCAGTTCTGACTTCTACTATCTCCAATCATGTTGTCCATTTTTCCATCCCCACCACTGATAGAGCAGTGAGCTAGATTAGAGTTGGAGCCTGTGGTCACACCCCACACTCTAGATGAATTTCCATTACCATTTGCTCCACTTGCTCCAAGGGCACTCTGATTAGAAGTGCTTTGGACGAGTGCTCCATTTGCGCCATTATTGCCATTATTTTTCTTTGTATGTCCAGTGAAGTTGCTGTGGGCACTCCCTGTAGCCATGCTACTGTTCTCTGGGCCACAGTTGGAGGCAGAGTCAATGTCTGTAGTACATTCTGAAACAGATTCAGTCTCAGTTACTGTAATGGAAGGCCACGCCTCCTTGTCAGTCCTATCTATTATCACTTTATCCCAGGTGCAGTTGGCTTCACTTCTAAAAGTAGGCTGCTGTCCCCAGTGGGAATTTTCATAATGGTCTACCAATCCACTGTGACTGAGATCTGAAAAAGATTAAATAAGATTCAAAATTAGGCTTTTTCGATAAAGCCAGTGAACCAACTCTTTTTTTCTGTTGAGGGGACTTCTGAATTTCTGATATTTAGATTTTTAATTATGAATGACAAATACTATATATCATTAGTTTTTAACCTAAATAAAAGGATTGTTTTTTAAAGGAAAAAAATTTATGACCTTCCTTCCCCATAGTAGCAGTATATTTATACTTGTAATCACAGAGAAAAAACATGATAAAAAGTTACTATAATGATAGCAAATGTTTACATAGCATTTACATTGTGCCAGGTACCGTGCTAAGTGCTTTACAATTATTATCCCACTTAATCTTCACAAAAACCTCTGGTGGTAGGTGCTATTATCATCCTCATTTTACTGATTAAGAAACTGAGGCAAACAGAGGTTAAGTGCCTTGATGACGATCACAAAGCTAGTAAGTATCTGAGGTCACATTTGAACTTCGGTCTTCCTGACTCCTAGACTAGTGTACTATGAATTTAGTTGTTCAAATAAATATGTATTTTATCATATTCAATTGTACCTATATAAATTTGTAAAATAATATGTGAGAGATATTATTCAGTCTATAGAGGGTGAGTTTGTTTATTTTTTTATTTTTTATTTTTTGCTGTTTTGGTGAGGCAATCGGGGTCAAGAGACTTGCCCAGGGTCACACGGCTGGTAAGTGTTATATGTCTGAAGCTGGATTTGAACTCAGGTCCTCCTGACTCCAAGGCCGGAGCTCTATTCACTGTGCCACTGAGCTGCCCCAAGTTTGTTTATTTTTAATGAGTCAGACAACAGATCCCTTGCAGTAACCCCACAGCCTCTAGGTCTATGGCCCTTAGGTTAAAAATCAATGCTGTAAATCTCTTTTTTAAAATTAATTTAATTTGATTTATCAACAATCACTTCCATAAGTTTTTGAGTTTTAAATTTTTCTCCACTTCCCTCCCCAACCCCCTTCCCAAGATGGCATGCAATCTGATATATGCTATACATATACATTCCTATTAATCATATTTTCACATTAGTGATGTTGTAAGGAAGAATTAGAACCAATAGGAGGAACCACAAGAAAGAGAAAACAAAAACAAAACAGAAGAAAAAAGTAGCAAATAGTGTGCTTCAATCTGCATTCAAACCCCATAGTTCTTTCTTTGGATGTGGATAGCATTTTCCATCATGAGACCTTTGGAGATGTCTTAGATCCTTGCATTGCTGAGAAGGGCTAAGTCTATCAACGTTAGTCATCGCACAACGTGTACAACATTCTCCTGGTTCTGCTCACTTCACTCTGCATCAGTCCATACAAGTCTTTCCATATTTTTCTGAAGTCTGCGTGCTCATCATTTCTTACAGCACAATAGTATTCCATTACATTCATATACCACAACTTGTTCAGTCATTCCCCAATTGATGGGCATCCTCTCAAGTTCCAATTCTTTGACACTACAAAAAGAGCTGCTATAAATATTTTTGTAGATGTGGGTCCTTTTCCCACTTGTATGATCTCTTTGGGATTGCTGTAAATTTCTTAAAGAAAGTCTTCTAGACTTGTCCTACATTCTGACCATATGACTGTTCACTACAACCTGTAACTTAAGAGTGCTAATTTCTGTACTGAAAGGCAGTGTTGCATAATGGATATAATACTGGTCTCAGAGTTAGGAAGACTTGAATTCCAACCCTGTCTATGATACCTAATGGCTGTGTGACTCTACACAAGTCACAGTGAACTTCTTAGGGCCTTTGACAACTCTGAAAGATTATATAATGCAGAGCAACAACAGATCTGCACTGATTGAGGGGATTTCCTGAATAAATGAAATCACATATCAGGTCAAAATTTTTTTTTCTTGTTCTTTGGTTTTTCTGGTTAATTGTTAATTATCAGACATCAATCAATTACCAAAAATCCCTCAGGGCAGGGGCTCCTTTTTACCTCTGTATCCTTAAGGTCTTGAAGAGAAGAAAAAGGAAATAAGCATTGGTGCTTTACAAATATTATCTTATTTGATCCTTGTGACAACCCTTCGAGTTAAGTGATGTTATTATCTTCATTTTACAGTTGAGGAAACCGAGGCAAACAGAAGTTATATGACTTGCCAGGGTCACATAGTTACTAAATATCTGAGGCCAGATTTGAACTCCAGGCCCAGCTCTCTATCCACTGTGCCAGCAGCTGCCTCTTGAACACATTAAGCACTTAATATTTGCTGTTGTATTCAAGAACTATGTTTAAAAATATTAAGTGATATTGGTATCTTTAAGATGGATGCATACCCAGAGCTACTCAACAAAGTTTTTATTACTTTTATCTGCCTTAATTAGTAATTGTGATTAGTAATTGTTTAGTCTATATGACAATATAGTTAGGTCTCATTAAGTGGAAATAATGAATCCCCCCAGAAGTAGTCGCATTATTTGAACTCTAAAAGCATATTTCCATAGGTATGGAACCAATGATAACATTTTACAAAATTATATATCTGAATAATGTAAATAAATACAAATACGTTTTATCCTTCTAGAGAATTCATCATTCACACTAATCAAAAACTTGGCTGTATTAAAATCCCCAAACTTATTCTGAGTAATTCTACACACTTCAATCTTCTCTAATCTTCCAATACGTCATTGCTTAAGTGCAGCTATACCAGTGGTCACATCAAGGAAAGACATAAGTAAGATTGCTTGGCTTACTGATATTCTAAACTCTGTGGTTTTCATCGTTAAGATAGATAAAGAATTTATTAAGCACTTATTATGTGCCAGGCACTGTGCTAAGTGCTAAGGATACAAATAAAAGTAAGCAAGCTTATTCATCAAAATGATCCACTTTGTCCTAGCAACAGCCATACAACTTCTGCTAAATGCTGTTTTCTATCTACAAGGCTTTTACAAGACTCAGCTCAAATGCCAATTGCTAGAGGCCTTTCCTTATATCCCCCCTCCCTTTCACTATTACCAGTTGCTAGAGCAGCTAGATAACAGATACTGATACTATTATCTTGTATGTACTCTGTATGTATCTTGTATGTACATATTTATGTGTATGTTGTAAGTTCCTTGAAGGGAAGTGAGTATTGATGATTTTTGATTAGGGTATATATATATAGTTAATGTGATATTGGAAGATCCTCTTGGACACCTACGTTAGTACATCATGGCTTACTAGTGGTCAAACACAAAGGGTGAATCAGGAGCTTCTTATAGTCCTAGTGGGATGACTATTCCTTAAATATACCTTAATTAAATGGAATTTACTGGCCTGACACTGATAAATGGAATATACACAAACCTGAATTGGAATCTCAGAATGTTAAACCTAGAGTTCTTAGAAAAGATCTAAATCAACATTTTCATTTTACAGAAAGGACACTGAGACCAAGACAGTTTAAGTTATTTGGTAATACTTATAGAGATAATAAGTAATATAGATATGATTAATACTCGGGACACCTGACACCCAGGTCAGTAGTCATTTGGTAGCTTAAGTATGTCAATCAACTATATGAAGGGCCCAGAATGACAATTCCAAGCAACGTTCTCAATTTTCTGTAGTAAACAAGATTTAGCTGTTCTTAGAACATCATCAAGCTGCTTCTCAAAACCCTAAAGCACAAGTCCTTTTGGGGTAGATTTACAAAATTAATTTTTACTCCATGGGAGTCTACTCAGGTGACTGCATAGTAACAGGAGAACTATCATAATGTGACAAATCCTTGACCTCAAGGAGGTCTGGGGACAGCACTAGATTTTGGTAAAATACTGAGAAAAGTCTAACTCAAATGATCGATATCGTATGATCTTGTGGAACAATTCATGTTCCTGCAACAATCATCCTCCAACTGTAGCTATCTAAAAAAAAAAAAAAACCAGGGTTCTAAAGGAGAATAAAGAAAAAGCTCAGTGAAATACTACAAGGTAACCTCAGCACCTCTATCAAAGGCAGGATATATTATTATTGCTACTCTTCCTCATAATAGAGGCTCATATTTATATGATTTGTTACTTTATAAAATGCCTTTTTTTTTTTGTGCTTTTTGGTGAGGCAATCAGGGTTAAGTTACTTGCCCAGAGTCACCCAGCTAGTAAGTGTCAAGTTATCTGAAGCCACATTTGAACTCAGGTCTTCCTGACTCTAAGGCCAGAATTCTATCCACTGCGCCATCTAGTTGCCCCTATAAAATGCTTTTTATACAACTTTGTGAGGAATGTAGCTTAAGTATTATTCCCTCCATTTTATGAATGAGGAAAAAGATAAGTGAGGTGATTTGCCCATGGCTAGGAAGGACTCCAGTCTGGGGGTGTTTCCACTACAGGAGGCTGCCACTGGGATTTGACCTCCTAAGAACAAACACCTGTGGGCCCTGGGCAGGTAATATGATAAAAGACTGAAAAAAAAACCACCTTACTCCTGGCTCAGAGATCACTATCCTATTCATTGGCCTTTACATGCTGATTTTCTGATCTCAGATAATGACTTCCTAGAACTAAGGTACTAATCTCATGTTTTGTCTTGGCTGACATCCACAAGTTTGATAGTTTCCTCAATCACATTCCAGTATAAAATCAGCCTTGATGCCCATTTGTTGAATTTAATTCAGTTCAACAGCCATTTAATGATACCTTACTGTGTGCCAGGCATAAGGATACAAAGGCAAAAATGACAGTCCCTTTCCTCAGGGAGCTTACATCGTAGTGGAAAGGGAAAACAAAATGTAAACAAAGTAATTTCAGGGTGTGGGGTGAACTCACTGATAACTGAGGTGGAGATGAGGAAAGATATCTTAAATGAGGTGGCACTTGGAAAGAGGTAGTTATTCCAAGAGGTAAAAATGTAAGGAAATCATTCCAGGCATAGGAGACAAGAATGACATATACAGAGGACAGCAAGTAGGCCAGTTTAGCTGGAATACTCGTGTGTGTGTGTGTGTGTGTGTGTGTGTGTGTAAAAACAATTTTGGAAAGACAGTTTGAG